TTACTTTATCGATCGTCTTTATTTGAATGAACGCATTGAAAAACTCGGTTGAATCATGGAAACATTTTCCTTAAAAAAATTCTAGGCAGTATAGTCGAAATCTTGAAAACAGCAAAATCTCGTTACAACAAACTCCCATGGATTTAAAAAAAATCGTTATAATGTGATTTATGGCTTTTTGAGCAGGGACTAATATTTTATGGGAAGCAGGTAATGATGCTGTACATGTTTAAAGTACTGTACTTCCACAACAGATACAAGGGTTGTCCTACTTGGTCTTGGGTATTCTTAGAGGGTATTCTTGGGTATTCTTAGAGGGTATTCTTGGGTATTCTTAGGTATCCATGTACCCCTTTAAATAAAATTTTATAATTTAGCCCGTGACGTTCTGAGGCTCTGGGAATTTTTTCAGATAAAAAAAAATCACAATTTTTGGCATGATGATGAGTGAATACTTTTCAATGTTTGGCGCAGTTCTCCACTTATGTCACAGGGTGAAGAAATTTTGTCAGCACAGCTTAAAAAAAAGTCAAATTTTTGTTGTTTTTTAAACCATAATCTTTTCTACATTTTGTGAAATTTTCACATTTTTTAGTGATTTTTTTTTTACAAAAATTGAGAAACCTGAAACATTTTGCTTTTGTTTCAATGCCAAGGGTTCATCCCAATTTTTTCTTCATAAATATCATCTATAGCCTCATTTCTGCCTGTGATCTACCTCCTTGAAGTTTTGTGAAACTTTTTTTTTTTTTAATTCCTAATCTGCCTCAAGGTCGGAAGGCCGTTTAAGGGGGTGATGTCTGCTCAAGGTTTGAGTAGATGTCACCTGATGGGTGAAAAATCACACTGTCTGTTTTTTTTTTTTTTTGGTGTCAAGAATGAAATATTTTTATCATCTTATTGGTCTGTGCGTGTAATAGTGACCGAGTATTTTGAATGAGATCATGCCCTCTTTATCATCGTGCAGGTGGGAATCACGCCGAAGTCGACGACTTGGTCGAGATGAACAAGCAGTTCCAGCCTGCCCCTTTGGAAGTGATAAATATTTCGCAAACTGCCAGCAAAACTGGTGGAAGGATGGCGAAAGATTTCAAATTCGCTCGCATTCTCGACGCCACTCGACACGTTCTCGATTTCTCGCGGAAAGTCCCGCATCCTGCTCACACATGGCCCTTCAAACTGGATCCTTTCCAGGTAAATTATTCTCATGATTTTCACTGTTCTTAGTACTTTTATACAGTGGGGCCCCGACGTACGGACACCCCGTCACGGATTTACGATTTAACTCGGTAACACTTGAAAGTCGAAAAATATGTTCAACAGCCTATGTCTTGAAAAGATATATGGTCACTTTTCCGAAATTTCTCGAAAAAGGGGAAAACATTCATTTTCCAACTGTCGATATATCCCTTGAACAAATTGAGCTATTTTATATGCACAAAATTTGAAAATCAATTTAATTATTAATTACTGTACTTCAAATTCATGATCAAGACCAATAAGATGATTTAATGTTTCTATCTTCAGTTTTTTATCATCTCTGTACAGGATAGCAAGAATTGGTCTTGTTCTTTAATTTTCCCCCTCCTTTTTCATGGTAACAGATCAGAGCCTTTGTGGTTTTCTTCTGCGCAGTTATTTTCTGTTTCTTGAAGTTGAAAAAAAAACATTGTCAAAATATTGGACATTTCCCCCAGTTGTTGATGAACAGGGATTATATATTATCCCATTGCAGACCAAAGGAAAATGTCTTCCAAAACGCGGACGTCTGATATGGGGAAAAGCTCCAAGCGCCAAATACAGTATGTACTCATCTCTGGGCCCCACTTGTCTCTGGAAATTTTGAAATGCCATGTGTCTTATGAAATGTAAGGCAGGTGTCGCCTGAATCGAAGACCTGACCTGAAGCCTTAAATTGAAGATGAACCATGTCAAGTTGTTAAGAACGATCTTACAACGTGATGCACTTTGCTTTATTCTTTAGGAACAAGCCGTCCTGTGTCTTGAAGCTCATTCGTCAGTCCTGGTCGCTGCCCACACTTCAGCTGGTAAAACAGTCGTCGCCGAATACGCCATTGCCCTATCACTGCGACATCTAGCGAGAGTGATCTACACTAGTCCCGTGAAGGCGCTCAGCAATCAGAAATTCAGGGATTTCAAAGAAACCTTCGGGGACGTTGGATTACTGACGGGTATTCTACGCTAGAATTCGCTGTGTGAATTCGAAAATTGCAACTCTTTGTTAATCTCTGTTGTGTCAGGTGACGTTCAGCTGAATCAAACTGCGTCGTGCCTTGTCATGACCACGGAGATTCTTCGGTCTATGCTTTACAATGGCTCCGATGTTGTTCGAGAATTGGAATGGGTCGTTTTCGACGAAGTTCACTACATTAATGACCAGGAAAGAGGCGTAGTTTGGGAAGAGATCTTGATTCTTCTGCCGGATCACGTTGGACTCGTATTGCTGTCTGCAACTGTGCCGAATGCCGTTGAGTTGGCCGACTGGATCGGGACTATAAAGAAACGAAAAATTAACGGTAAGTGTTTTTTTTTTCTTTCAACTGAATTCATTGTAAAAGAAAAAGAAGAAAGAGAGTATGGTGGCGGAAATTGCATCGTTATGCGGAGTGGATGGAAAGTAGCTCTGAATTTGCATTTTCTTGTGATGGAAATAACTATTTTCGAGAATGTGTTCGTAAAGGTTTTTCGTTTTTGATAAAAAAAAAGAAAAAACTTTTTTCTTTTCCACGTTGAATGAATTTTCTATGCGTGTGTTTAAGAAAAAAAATGGGGACTCGTCTACGATTTTTTTTAAATGTCTTTTTCAAGTTGAGCCGTTTTTCATCCCGAATTCGTTACGAAACTTCATGCTATCGGAATCCAGAAAAAGCTACATGATTGTCTATTGTTCATTTCGTTGTACTAAATGTTTGTTTAAAAAAAAAGGAAGGAAAACAATGCGATTTTATTTTAAAAATTTTCTCGAAGACTTCGGCGAAAATTGATGTTGAAATTTCAAGTATTCTCCACTTTTTTGTCGTCGTTTGAAATTGCGCTGTTTCGGAAGTCTCGTGAAAAAGTTCGTGATGAAAAGTTCATTTGAAGTCATTTCAACGGGGTTTTTTTCGGTGGAATGCTTCAGAAATATGGAATAGTTCGCAAAAAAAAACCGTAATTCTCGTTGGTAATTTTAAAATTCCAGTTGTTTACACCGACAAGAGGCCGGTGCCATTGGAGCACTATTTGTGGACGAACACGAGTACGCAAGTTCAGCCCAGTGGGAAAAAAACTGCCAACTGTGATCAGTTCCTGATTGTCGATGCGAAGTCCACTTTCCTCAACTTCAATTACGTGAATGCTCAAAAAGCCAAGAAGAATGACAAGGAGAAGGTTAGCGTTTGATTGATTGATTCAAAACGCATTTTGTGTTATGAAAACCTTTCGGGTTGGCATTTTGTTGACTACTATTGTAAAATGCGTTTGTTCTCGCTGGATTTTTGACTTGAGATGGTTATCGATTCTGGTGATGCACAAATTAGTGATCTGAGTATTGGAACAATTGGTAATTAAATTTGTCGATCAGTTTGTGATTAAAGTAGCTGAGTAATTAGTAATCAAAGTAGTAGAGCAATTTGTCTTTAGAGTAGTGGATCGTTTTGTGAATAAAGTAGTTGAGCAAATAATATTACAGTATTGGAGCAAATAATAACTAAATTAGTTGAGCAATTGATAATTGCAGTAGTGGATCAATTAGTAATTAAAGTATTGGATCAATTAGTAATTAAAATATTGGATAATTTATTGATTACAGTCTTGGATCATTTATTAAGGTATTGGATCATTTATTAATTGAAGTAGTGGAGCAATTGGTAATCAAGTCAGTGGTATATAAGTAATTAAAGTGGTGGAGTATTTAGTATCAAAGCAGTAGATCAATCATTAATTACAGTAGTAAATCAATCACAGTATTAATTTAAATAGTGGATCAATTACAGTAGTAATTGAAGTAGTGGATCAATTAGTAATAATCAAGAAAGGAGTTAATTTAGCAATTAAAGTAGTGGAGCAATTGGTGATTACCGCAGTGGTGTATTAGTAATTGAAGTAGTGGGTCAATGAGTAACTTAAGTATTGGATCAATTAATTATTGGATTAGTGGATAAATTCATAATTGAATTAGTGGATCATATAGTAATTAAAGTAGTGGATCATTTAGTTATTAAAGTAGTGGATCATTTAGTAATTAAAGTAGTGGATCATTTAGTAATTAAAGTAGTGGATCATTTAGTAATTAAAATAGTGGCTTAATTTGTTGATAATGTAGATGATCAATTAAGAGAGCTTGTGCTGGGAGAATTACAGTCAACCCCCGTTAAGACATCCCACAAGAAGCCGTCACAGGAATTCAGTCATAAGTCTTTTAAAAGTGAGCTTTTGTATTCCGAATTGTTTGCCTTATTTGCAAAAGATGGTGATGTTCCAAAGTGGACATCTTTCCAGGTGAAACAGAATTTAATTCCACGAAAATTCAATTCAGGAAAATTCGGACAAGTCTCGGAATCAGCAACCTGGGCAACAGCGGAACAACCAGAATCGCCCAGGCGGGAATAACAACCCCAGCCATCAGCATTACCAACGACGAAACCAGCGGCATCAGGGTGGTCATCAGGCGAGTTTGCCAATGAAAGAAGAACGACTGCTGTACACGAATTTGGTGCGGAACCTGGAAGCCCGAGACAAATTGCCGGTAATTGTGTTCACCTTGAGTCGTCAGCGTTGTGATCAGAATGCTGCGAATCTTCCGGAATCCTTGGACTTGCTCACGGCTGCCGAGTCACGAGAAAGCGTCAGGTTTTTCAGGTAGTTTATTGCTTGTTTCTGAAATTTTTGTGTGTGTGGTTATTTCATTGCTGTATAGTTTGGTTCATGGTCTTGCCGTCGAATTGCGTTCGAATTTAGAGGCTGGCTAAACTGCTTTTAGAAGGCGTAGATTTACCGCATTCGCATCTTTTTCTGTTTTTTAATTAATGGAAAATGCTTGGGAATTTTTTAAACATCGTTTCTTTTCTTGAATGATTTCGAATGCTTCTCATTTGGACCCTTGATCATTATTCTAACAGGACTTTATTCCGGTGACAAAAAAAAAAGTTCACGTGGATTTTTCTGGGAATTCTCTCGTCCATCTTCGATTTTCCAGACGAATTTAAGTCGAAATCGAGTCGATAAAATAGAGAATGATTATTTCATGATAGATCTTTCGAAAGATTCGGTATCAGCTGTCAGCATTTTTTTTTTCAAAGCTTCTGGGCGCCAAGGGGAGAATTTTTTGATTTTTTATTACATTCCCCAAATCTCTCGGATGTTCATCTGAAATTCGTGATAATTATGCGACCAACTACACATACTCGGAATTACACGCAATAATTCACAAGGTTTCTCAGCAGTTTTTAATTTTTCTTATTAAGTGTGTCAATTTTTCGCGCAAAAAGAGATAAATTTACATTACTGATTTTTTTTTATTGTGGAGAATTTCGCCTGAATTCCTCTCGAATATTGCGGTACAGTACTTCGAAATATGCCGAGGCTCTGGATTTATGCGCATGCGTTTTTTCACGGTGTTGTGTATCTTTTTTTTTTTTTTTCATGATGAGATGTGATGATGAATAGAATTGAGTTTTCATTTTCCGCCCATATTTCGCAGGTCTTGCCTGACGAGACTCACTGGCTCGGACCGGAACCTGCCCCAAATCAAATCCATGGAAGAACTGCTGAAACGCGGGATCGGCGTCCATCATTCGGGGATTCTGCCGATCGTCAAAGAAATCGTCGAGCTCCTGTTCGGTCGCGGGCTCGTGAAATTGCTCTTCGCCACCGAAACCTTCGCCATGGGCGTGAACATGCCCGCGAGAACAGTGGTGTTTGACAGCATCCGGAAGCACGACGGAACCCAGTTTCGGGACTTGTTGCCGTCGGAATACACGCAGATGGCGGGACGAGCCGGGAGACGAGGCCTGGATGCCACGGGGCACGTGATCGTGTTGTGCAAAACGGATGTGTGGGAGTCGGGGGTCTTGCAAAACATGATGCTTGGCAGAGCGACGCAGTTGGAGTCCAAATTCCGTGTTACCTATGCCATGATCTTGAATTTGAAGCGTGTTCAGTCGGTTAGTGATTATTATTTTTTTTTTTACTTTCAATATTTAAGAATCTTGAAGATGAAAAAAAAACCCCAACCTTTTTTCAAAGCTTCAAGAGCTTTTTGGAGGGGAAGAAGCAGGTTTTTTCCGAGGTTCAGGCCAAATTGATAATCAGAAATTCTAAATTTTTTGAAATATATCTGGGGTTTTGTCAATCCACACCTTGACATCATGTCCCTTGAAATAAGTTCATCTGAAAAATTTTAAACTTTGAATTTTCAAATGGCAGAGAAGGAGGAAACTCCCTTCTTCTGTAATGCATCTGATGTGAAATATTACAACTTACAAGTACAGACTTGTCCTTTTCAGTCTGAGGAATTGACCATTTAGAGCAGTGTTATCCAACCCGCAGATTTGCGCTGGTCTGCAAAAGTTGTTTGCCTGTCTGTGGGAAATTTTCTTCAGCATAATACATTTTTCAAAAATAGCAATGAAGTCTGATATCTATATCCGAAATTTATTATATAATGAAAAGTAAAAGCTGGCTTTTCTCTGAGCAATACTTCAGACAAATTTTCACCTGCTGAAATAAATTATTTAAATTTTAAGAAACTTTTCTAATTTTTTTAAGATGTTCCACTAAAGCTGCTTCATTGGTTCTTGACCTAATTTTTGCAAAAAAGCTGTAAACTTTTCAAATACTGTGCCTGTCATAAAGTCTTTCACACATTGCTTTTTTTTAGTCAGAAAATATTTTCTTAAACTCTGCCAACCTGCAAAGAATTCCTTGGAAATTGTTTGCCAGGCTACAAAAAATGTTATGGAAATTTTATGTTCCACAAAAATTTCTAGAAAACGTCCAGAAAAAGTGCATGAGTATAAAGAATGTGTGAAGGGGTTTCTGGAATATTACAGTAATTTGTAGATTTACAGTGAGACCCCCAGATGAGGATGTAATCAATGCATCAAGCGTGTCCCTAAGTTCAAATATCACTAAGTTGAGTCTAATTTTCCTGTCGACTTAAATTAAACTGTATAATTTTTGATTGATGTTTCATGGAAGAAATATTCTTCAGGATTCCATAGAATTTTTTTTTGCCACTGTATTTGATTCTGTGAATATATTTTCAACTCACCAAGAACATTTGGAGCATTGAATAGTGTACCTCTGTACATGACATTGAAATGTTGGCATCTGTAAAAATAACATATTAACATTCAAGTCACAAAGAGAGAGAAGTAAGTCCCTCTATGCTAAAGGTAATTTTTTTCAATTATTTGAATGGATGGGAAAATTATGTGAGAAATACCAAAGAATTTTCTTACATAGCTCTTCGGATTGGAAATATATGTTTCTTGCAATTGAGCCTAATGAAAGTCAATTTTCCTAAAATTGATTGGAAATTTTATCATGCAATGTCCGCATGTTGAGGCAGTGTCCGTGTATCACCTTTTTTAAATTGAAAAATGAATGTCCCTATGTCGAATTGTCCGCATGTGGGGGTCTCATAGTATTTCAATTTCTTTGCAGGTCCGTGTGGTGGACATGATGAAGCGGTCTTTTGGCTCAGCCGGGATCGTGGGTCGCGAAGTCGAGCATCGTGAAAAACTCGCCAAGTTGACGAAATCCTGGGAAGACTACCCTGAACTTCAGTGTCAAGACTGTTCTGGTAAATTACCCAGGTTATTCTCCACTCTCGACGACTACTGGAAAACCTGGACCGAGGACCTGGCTCTCACAGTGCTCCGTTGCGCGTTCGGGAGCAAGTTCATTCACGTCGGTCGCATCGTTGCCTTGCGACCCCCGAAAACGGATCCCTGTTGGCGCACGTGTGTCGGTGGTGCGATCCCCGCTGTGATCCTCGCTGTGCCCAGCACAGGCAACAAAGTCGACTTGACTGTGTTCTACTGCACTGCTGCTGGGACGAGTGAGGCGGGAACGACGACTAGTGCCGCCGTTGAGTTATTGGAGGCGAAGCGTTTCTTGTCGCCCAGTGTGGATTTGTGGTTCCCCGTGTCGCCGTTTCAACCGGACTGGACCAACTTTGTGGTTCGGGAAGTGGCGCCGTATGAAGTGGTGGGCGTGTCGAAGGTGTTTATGCGTGTGGACCGACCCGACTTGGTGATTGGCGAGTGGAAGAAGAATAAGCTGAAGGTGTCGCCCATGGCTGACGATCTCGTCAGGTTTTTGCGAAGTAGGCTATGATTTGCACTGTGCTGAACTTATTGTCCTTCCGTGTCATGTGTGGGGCAAGAGATTTTTTTTTGGGAGAGCAACTTGCGAACATTTTCTGAGGAATCGTGTCTAAAGTCAAACCTTGAAAAGCCGCCAGCGTTTGTTTCTGGCGGTGTAACGGGGTCTATAGAAAAACCAAACTTTCTGTGAAAATCACTTGTAATTTTAAATAAAATTTGTATTCCTCCAAAAATCAACCAAAATAAGCCTGGTATGCTGAAATTATATCTAGCTGATGTTCTCAAGAAGTGAATTATGCCATCTTTTCATCTGTGCTTTTTTTAATTGGAGACATTTGACAGAAACTTCAATCATGTTGGCGGGAGTTGTCAATAATTTTGGAGGATGGCGTTTTCAATGCTATTATAATTAGGGAAGAAGTGTTTTTTCATCTAGGACAAATCAAGACAGAAAATTGGAGACAGGGCCAATTTGAGACAGAAACTTTTGGAGACAGTGACAATTTGAGACAGAAACTCTTTGAGACAAGAAAGGTTTTTTTTAAATAATGATTGGTGCATGCATCTTGTGAGTTACATAAGTAAACTTGTGATATGCATGAATTCAAGTGGAATCTGCAGTTGCACTGGGGCTGTCTCAAATTGACCCTTGCTCAAATTGTCCCTGTCTCAAATTTTCCCTGTCTTGAATTGACCGTGTCTCAAATTGACCATGTCTCAAATTGTCCATGTCTCAAATTGTCCATGTCTCAAATTGTCCATGTCTCAAATTGTCTCTGTCTCAAATTGTCTCTGTCTCAAATTGTCTCTGTCTCAATTTGGCCCTGTCTCAAATTTTTTGTCTCCATGTGTCCAGTCTGAATTTGTCTCTCTTGATTTGTCCATATCCCTTTTTATATATAATAAATTGGTGTTGGACTGTATTTGGCTGAGTTCTGTTTGGTTTTTCTTGGGTCAACAGGTTTGAATGCTGGGAATCATTGGTGCGACCCAGTGCGGGATTACTATTCATCCCTGCTTCTTGACGACTCGTATGTTAGACTCCAGCACCTGAAGTCGGAACTTGGCCAGAACACATCCGCCAATTGCCCCGTGTTTTTCGACCACTTCATGCACTTTTTCAAAGGGAAGCAGATTGAAAAGGAGAAGGAGTGTTTGGAGTTGCTGCTTTCGGAAGAGTCGCTGTCTGTTTACCCCGAGTATCAAGCGAAACTCGAGGTTTTGTGTCGCCTCGGATACTTGAACCAGCAGGAGGAAGTGAAGCTGAAGGGTCGAGTTGCTTGTGCCATTTTTCAGCACGAACTCATGCTGACTGAGATTCTTTTCGAAAATTTGCTCGGGGACTTTCAGCCGGCGGAAATTGCTGCCTTGTTGTCCTGCTTGGTGTTTCAAGGGAAGGAGGACAAGAATTTGAAGGGCTTGACGCCGAAGCTTCAAGAAGGCGAGTTCAGTTTTTCCTTTTGCGGGGTTTGACATTTATTTTAGTGATTCGTGCCCACCTTTGTGTGGAAAAGTTTGGAATTTTGAGTATAGAGCTCCGATGACCTGAGAATTCTTTTTACCTCTCTCTAAATTTCAAAATGGAGCAAGTTTTCTGTGAACCTCGTGATTTCAAGTCGTACCTTTCTGAGCAGCTGACGACAGCGTCGCTGATAATTTTTTGAAATTTACTTACATTTTGCGAGGTCAATTTTGAAATTATAATCTAGGACTCATTGCATGAAGCTGGAGCTTCGAGAAGGTGAGTCGTTTTCTTGTGAAGTTCAAGATTTATTGGAATGACTGAGGTCGAACTTTTTATGGAAAATTTATAGGTTTTTTAGCATCCCGACCTAATGTTTTGAATTTGAGTAGAACTGCGCATTCTATTGACCATGCCTTTTATTGAAGAAAATGACGAGGAGCAACTTCTTTTCAAACGTCGTGATTTCGAGTCGTTCGTAAAGTTTTGACCAACTGACTATACTTCACCGATATTTGTTTTTAAAATCAGTTGAATTTTGTAAGATACATTTTGAAAATCTAACCTTTGATTCGTTGCTGGATATGGAAAAAGTCGAATTATGTGTGGTGTCCCATTAGCCTGGTGATGACAGTTGAAATTTTCCGAGTCTTGATTGAAGTACAGTACACTTATTAATCTCACGCTTAACAAAAATTTTGCAATGCAAAAGTTCTTGAATTCAAGAAACCGAAATAATTATTCATATTACGGTATTTTTGCGTTAATACCGGGCACCTAAAATTGATACTGTAAATGGTTTCCACTTGAGCCGCAATCTCTTGCCATTCATGTTTTCCTGAATAGTTTTCAGTGTTTAAACCTCTTAATCAACTCAGGACCTGAATGAAACAATATAAAACCATTTTGTGAAGAGGTGACATCTGTCTACTATGCATGCAAAGATCAACCTCACATGGGATTTTGATGAGAAACGGAGAAGAAATGGTGTGAATCACCTGGATTTTCCTGAGAAAATAATGAATGAATGTAGAATTATTTATGCAGCATTGTTAACTTTTATTTTGAAGGATTCAATCCCTTTTATACCATTGAATCCTAAATCTTGGGAATGTTTTAAATATTGTCAATGTATTCTGATTTTTCTGAATGGAAATCTCATTTCGCATTCCGAAACACATGCCTTTTGTATAATGACGAAACTCGATGTATTTCTGTTTGGAAGTCTGTCTGCGATTTTATTTTCCTCTTGCTAAAATTGACCCCTTTTCTATCTATTGTTTCACCCCAGGCTGTGACCTGATCAAAGACCTGGCAAAGCGAATCGGCCAAGTGCAATTGGAAAGCGGCCTGACCCACGAAGGCCCCTCTGTGTATCCGGAACAGTTCAAGTTCGGTCTCGTGCCGGTCGTGTACCAATGGGCTCGCGGTGTTCCTTTCGCCGACATTGCGACGATGACTAGCATGCAGGAAGGGATCGTTGTCCGAAACATTCAGCGATTGGACGAGGTCCTGCGAGATTGTCAGGGTGCTGCGAAAACTCTGGGCGACCCGAAGCTGATGGAGAAGATGGTGGAAGCTTCGTTGCTCGTTCGGAGGGACATTGTGTTTGCTGCGAGTTTGTACACGCAGGACGTATGATTTCCTCCAAGGCTGTTTTTTGGTTCTGTTATTTATATTTTTTGTGTGTGAAGAAAAATGGGGGGTGGGGCGTGCGCTGAATCTTGTGCATTTGTTGATGGAACCGCCGGATGGGCTTCGAAAGTGACGGAAATCGAAGATATTGATTTATCCTCATTTTTGTGCATAGGGCTTGTGCGATTCTTCGTGATCCTTTTGTCAAGAGCATGCGTCAGGATTTTCTGAATGCTTTCGTATTGAAGTAATGCTAGAGTTTTTACTTGGAACACCGTTGATTGACGATACGATTTCATAATCAAGTGGATTTAGTAACTTATTTTTGCATTTACTCGAGCACCACGCGCACTTCAATTTTTCGAAATCGAGAGAAAGAGAAAAAAAAGTTCGCATCATAGACGGGAATTACGGCGTTTTTTAAATGTATAGGTAAACTGCGTATCATGATTGATTCAACGGCTGATTCAAGAAACGAAAATGGCAGAAAATCGACGTTCGATTTGACTGAAAATCAAGTCAGGATTTAAATTCCGGTGCTTTTTTTCTCTTCAAAATACAGTCAAACCAGCCGGCACCATTTGTGAGTTTTGTAGCAGTTTGACGAGGTTGATGGTTTATCAAAAAGCTGAAATAGTGCGAAAATCAACTATATCATGTGAAATAAAATTCTTATTCTTCTTGAAATCCATCAAAATAACTTCGGGATGCTTAAATTATATCCAGCTAACGTTATGCGTCAAGAGAACTGCGAGTAATCTTGACGCAAGTTCGACAAGACGGGGATCATCGGAAGTGTGTGTCAATATTTTATTTTTGTGTTTAGAGAAATTGTCTGCGAGTAATTTTTGTCATTCCCGTCGTTCCAAGGCAATGACGTTGTTGTGCTCGAAATGCTCGACGTCGGCATTTGCGACGTCCGCGCGGTTTTTCTCCGCCAGTCGCTGCGCAGCGAAATACGCCTACGAAGAACACTTGAATGACGCGAAAGTGCGGGAATTGTATGAAGGCGTGATGCGAGGCAGTCGGGGCCATCTGGCCCAGGCCATCACGTTGGTGGAAAGCGTGCATCCGGTGAAGAAAATCCAAGCTCAGAGTTTGCTCACTTTGGTTCTGCGATCCTTTAGAGACAAGGAGGAGGTTCAAGGGGTGCCTCAGACTTTCAGAATCGGTGAGCGTTGAAATTACTTGTTTCGAAATGAGGAAACTATTTTTTCAAAGTTTTTCGATACAGTATAACCCTGCGTGGATGGTTTTTTCCTCAGGAATATCATTAGTTTTTACTGGGAATCATGTGCCTGTGGCCAGGGGAATTTTTCAAAAAAAAATTTTAATGAACATGTCATTGGGTCACATTGCAGTGAGACCCCCACATGCGGACGCCTTTTCTTGCAGACAATTCAACATAGGGACATCTTGCTGATGAAATTGCAAATATATTTCAGGCCAAATAGCAAGAAACATATTTCCAACCCTGGAATTAGTGTAAGAAAACTTCTTGGGCATTTCTCACACCAATTTTCCATCCATTCAGCTAATTAAAAAAAATTATCTCCAGCATAGAGGGACTTCCTTCTCTCTTTTTCCCTTGACTGTCATTTTTACAGAGAATGCCAACATTTCTATGAACTGTACACAGGTATCAGTATTCAATTCCCCAAATGTCCACATTGTGTTGAAATATATTGATTGAATCAGTTTAAATTGGGAGACAATTTTCATTTTCATGGAATTATGGTGAGTATTTTTTCCATAAAACACCAATTAAAAATTATGTAATGTAAGTCTAAGGGAAAATGAGACTTGACTTAGGGACACTCTTCATGCACCAATTATGTCCACATCTTGGGGTCTCACTGTACTTGAGTGTCTTCCACAGTGAAGAGCATCTCCATAACTAATGGGATAGTCTCTTTAAAACATTAAAATCATTTTGGTGCATTTTCTGAAGAGCAGGAGGTATACTGTACATGCATCTGGTACAATATTATGTGGAGTACAGTATCATACTCATGTGAAATTTTCAGGATTGTCGGGTCCCCCTGGAGCCGGAAAATCCACCTTCATTGAATCTTTCGGGAAGATGCTGACCAATAGCGGAGAACACGTCGCCGTTTTAGCCGTGGATCCTTCTTCAACCCGAACCGGAGGTTCTCTTCTCGGCGACAAAACCCGGATGCCGGAACTGACCCGGGATCTCCGTGCGTACATCCGGCCTTCGCCCACCGGTGGGAAGTTGGGTGGGGTTGCGAGAAACACCCAAGACTCGTTGTACCTGTGCGAAGCTGCTGGCTACAAAACAGTGCTAGTGGAAACCGTGGGTGTTGGGCAGTCGGAATTGGCAGTGGCTGACATGGTGGACTGTTTTGTGCTTTTGGCGCCTCCGGGGGCCGGGGATGAGTTGCAAGGCATGAAGAAGGGCATCATGGAACGGTGTCATCTCGTGGTTGTGACGAAGGCGGACGGGGATTTGCTTCCGGCTTCCAGGAGGATGCAGTACGACATTATGTCTGCCCTGAAGTACATGCGGCCTTTGTCGCCCAACTGGAGAACGAGGGTGAGTGTATGTATATAAAGTGGATGTGCGTGTCTCAAAATGGAGGAGTAGATAATTTACGTGGAGGTATTACGTGACTCAAATGCGTGCTATACGCGCATTGAGTCACTGTATTGCTGGAACGCCTTCGTTGACAGATACACATGTTCATTTGATCTTTCGCACGCTGTTTTAAATCTATGTTCTTCGCTCCGTATACGAGGAACAATACAGTGGGAGAGCACCCTTTCCTTCGGTTGAGGTTCGGTATTCAATTACTGTACTGTATATTCTCATGATTTCATTGGGAGGATTACGAGGACGATATACAGTACTCCTATTATAAGATGACCTTGATTCGGAATATGCCGGGGTTCTTCTTTCTCAATCACTCTATTGAGAAGGAGAATGAATATTGAATTAAGTTATTGCTTTCAATTTGAACTGATCGATGAATATCGTATCAGTTACAGGCCTTGCGTGTTTTTGCTGGATTTTTAGGAGGTAATCGGCAGAATTGTTGGTCGCTTATTGTCTTCTCTATATACTGTAGTACTATACTGATGTATATATGAAAGAGCAAGCCACACTTCGAAACAGCGTGAAGAAGTATGGTCCTCGCAGATTCATGTAAGAACTAGTTTATTTTTTTCCGTTGAGGTTCGAAATTCCGAAGCCGTGCGACTTGATCATTGAACAGTACTACTGTAGTACCTTTGCCTGAACCTTGTGGATGACTATCAGATTGGGGTAATTGTGTACGCGACACCTGCGTGTGATTTTAGGAAAACAAATGAGGAGTTCAAAGGACCCAATTGGATTTGTGAAATGACAATACTATACACTTATAAGTATGGCTTTTGCCTTGCATGAAGCAGCGTTCGAACACCGCGTAAGTTGATTCTTCGGTGGTGTCCGTACAGTTTATGAAATCGCTAGAACTGAATTTCAAATCGTTTGTTTGAGTGTGGAATATCATGTCAGCTTTCCTTGGCAGGTGTTGAGAATATCAGCTCACACCGGTGAAGGATTGGACGATCTGAAACTCGCTCTCGACGAGTATCGGAAAATAATGAACGAGCACGGAGAATTGGCGAGTGTTCGCGAAAGTCAGCACACCACGTGGATGTGGAGCTACATTGAAGACAACATTCTTGAAAGATTTCGGAGCCACGAAAAAGTCGGATTGGCACTTCCTGAAATCTCGAGACGAGTTCGGCATGGGCTCATCACCCCGGGTGCAGCCGCAGAAGTGCTCCTCGAGGAATTCTCTGCGCAATCCTGATTTTCGTATTTGTTTGGAATCTTGCTTTTTTTGATGCTGAAATAATTGGATGGTGCCGTGGTTTTAATGTCATTTCTAAAGCCAGTGCTGAAGTGATGGGCAGTGGAATCAAAACGAGTGCAATCCTGATTTTTACGTTGAAGTTCCCGGTCGGTTTGATACCTTTGCCGAATGGCGACAATGAATCGTGATCCGATGTAACTAACCTCGTGTCTCTAATTGTTTTCATTCAAATATTTAGTCTATTTCCGCGTTTTGACGTTTTGGGAAAGTCGATTGATGAATTGGAATTTAATCGTTGAAGAATCTATTTAATTTCTTTGTTTTCGAGAGGAATAACTGAGTAAAGACTGTTTTTGAAACCCACTCAAAACATTTCACAATCCTTAGCTAATGATGCGTTATTTTGCGCAAGGTCTTTCGAAAGTCGTGCAAAATCGCGTATCATCCCGCGGTGCCGATTTTTTCGACGTGTGTGTGCAAATTTGATTCCTACGTCTTTTTTGCAGGAAAGAGCGTGTACGCTATGCTGAATTCATTACACGTAGAATAATTTTGTGAGAAAGACAAATTGGAGCATGAAATTTCTCAAAAATTAGCCTTATAGGGTCCCTCATGTTATTCTTATCGGATATTCATCTGTTTACTAATTAATTTTTTACGAAGCAATTATAATGACGTATAGAAATTGACTTGGATTTCACCGTAAATCCTCAATTCTTTTATGTGACGTGAGTGCCTAAAATTTTTCACAAGATTTTATTGTACTTTCGTCGATCATACTCAATGCCCATGCTTAACTACCAGTTTTTCAGTCGTATAAGTTGTTCATTTCATGGTCTATCTACTAGTACAGTACTAGAATTTTTGTTATAAGTTAAACTATTATAGCCCTGAAATCCGGAAATGTTGGAACAATGGTCGCTACTTATTTTCGAATGGATGAGTCTTATTGGGAATTGGTAGATCTTCCTCGTTGCATTTGTGAATATTGAAAGAATTTCTGTGAATTTCTGACATGGAATGAGTAAAAACGCGGGGCGTTTGTGGTTATTATCAATTGTTGAGAGAAAAAACGTGGTCTTTATTCAATTTTTGATGAATTCCATTTTCATCCCTACTGCAGTGCAGTATGTGACCATAACTTTCTGCTGACCAGTTGACTTGTCCATTCGGTGTACTGTATCTTCTAAATTTCAAACGTTCAATTGAAAAAATCCCTTTGATGTATTGTTGTTAGCATATGATTCCAGATACAATTGAACCTCCCTCCATAAAATTTGTAAGAAAAAAACTCCCAAAAAATTTCTCTGAGAGCTTTTGAAAATTTGGCTTCATAGGGGTTGCATATTTTGTCAAAATTTGTTTCTGGCCAATTTATTAGTATTATTGATTTTTCATAGATGTCCCACATACAGAAAGATGCCTAATCCCTTGTGAAGAGCATGAAAAAAATACTGTAATTGACATTTGTATTTTTGCTTTTCTATAATCTATAGGACATGTGTTCTAAAGTGTTGCCCCAATTTGAGAGAAAAACGTTTCATTGAGGTAAAAGTGAACATTCCATTCAACAATCTAATTGAGTCTATCATAGTACAGTTGAACCTTAATAAGTTGAATACCTCCCTATAAGTCAAATATTTTCCAAGTCCCTGTTTGAATTCCCTGTGAAACAATGCATTAAAAACCTTCCCAAGTTGAAATCATTTCCCCTGAAACCTCTGTGAGTCAAAATTTCCAAGGCCATTGATGGTTGTTATTTTTTTTTTGTGAAAGGAGAGAGATCAATAAGAAAAGCACAGAATTTTTTGGGTTTCGAAAAGAAATGAAAGACCAAATTGGGAAAATGGATGATAACCCCTGCCTCCAAACTGCAGCATCCTGTCAATGGATTCAAGAGCCAATAATTTGAGGATTATAGTAAATCAAAATTTACAGTGTTGCCATAATTCTTACATTTTTTCTGCATTAAAAGTCCTTGGTTCCATAATGCAAACCTTTAAAACTCAAAAGATGCTCAAGTCAGAACCTCTCTATATAAGTCAAATTTTGTTTCTGGTCCCTTGAAATTAAACTTTGGTAGGTTTGACTTGTATTTGGACTTGAGTATCTGAAGAATGAGTTGAGACATGCATATTTCCCACTGGCAAAATTGTTTATTGTTCATCTCCATGCAACAATAAAGAGTCAGTAAAGTAATACGTCACACGTGTGCAGGCATGGTCATATAATGTAATAATAATTAATCCACGAAAATATTCGAAAATCTCCAATCAACAGCAGGTGTCCGCACACCAAGATTGAGTATCAATAACACTATGCAGTTTCGATAATTCCCGGTGGTATATGTAAAAAAACAAAAAACAGCAGCACACGCGTGAATGTGGTAACCGTTTCCAGAGCAGGCAAGTGAAGTAAGATTTTGCAAATGATCCCAGGAATTCCTGCGTTTTGCTCGTCTCAAACAAGGATTGCTTGCCAGCTTACATAATCAAGTCCTCATGATGAAGGAACTATTTTCCGCCAGCCAGTAAAGCAGTCAAGAATCGGAGGAAGGACCGGAATTTAGAAGCATTTGCTGGAGGATCATCGCCGTGCGGAACAGGATCATTTCCGGCTCGTGAAGTGGTTTTTGCTTGTGACGTGGTGCTGGTGGTGGCATTGCTACTCATCGTGGTTGAGAGAACCGTTGTTTTGGTGGTTGGATTTTGAGTTGTCGTTGCTGGGAAAGGGCCACACGTGACCCCAGTCAAGTTGTTGCAGAGGAAATTGCGGTGATCGGCAAACGCCATGGAGGAGCCGATGAGGGACAGGACCACGTCACTTCGGCATAATCGCTGGAACCGAGTGAGTGCCACCAGGTACGGATTGTTGTCTGCGCCCACGACCACGATGGAACTGCCTTCGTTGACCTGACTACAAGCCTCGTCGACGGTTCTCGAGGCTGAGACGCAAGACGTGATGGTGGTGTCCACGGTGCCATTGGCATCTGATGCATCCAAAGAAGCAGGGCATGCTGTTCCATTGACAGTCGCCCGTAGTTTTCTCAACACTTGGTCTGCAATAATAATAATGAACGTGTACGTGTCGTTCTTTAAATAATGGAACTACTGTCTACCCATTATTGCATCCATTAGATCTGAGGGTTGGAAATACGAGGGTTCTAACAAAAGTTCTTGTAGTAGCAATGAAAATGGCTTACAGTTGAGCTGAAAAAAGTTTGTTCTTTAGGGAAAACATATTGTTTGTGGCGGCTGTGAAGGTGGCTGTTGATGAAAATGCTGGAATTGCCTTGGATAACCTGGAGGCAACCCTAAAGAATGCCAAGTTGATTTCAAAAATTCTGAGGGGAAAGCTGGGCTACAAGAAAAAAGGGCGCCACATCTTTTGAGTGGAGAGCAAAACTCTGCCAGAGTGAATTATTAAAAAACAAAAAAAAATTTCAAACAGGGCTGATAATTTTTTTTTGTGCCAAAGAAAATGTTTTCCCCAGAGAAACATTTTTTTCAGCTCAATTGTAAGCCATTTTTATTGTTACTTTGAGAACTTTTGTTAGAACCCTCGTATCTGCTTCTTGCAATTAAGCCTAATAAAGGTCAATTTGCCTAAAATGTACCAGCATTTTCATCATGCTATGTCCTCATGTGGAGTCCGAGTGTCTCTTTGTCAGTCCCTTTTATGATTTTGTTCATTGAAAAATACATGTCCCTATGTCAAATTGTCCCCATGTTGAGGTGTCTGTATGTTGGGGTCTCACTGTATATGTAAACAATGTACGATACTCTGTATAGAGTAAATGCACAAACGTAGTACAGTACCTTTTGGGTAGGTGAACAGCTGAATCACGCCACTGAACCCAGCCAGGTTAGGTCCAACGTCGGTGGCGATGCGAATGAAGCCAGCAATTGCAGTTGAAAACGCCTTAGGCAAGTTGAGGATGGCCAAACTATTTTTGAGGAAGGAATTGACGTCGGCTTTGTTCTCGGCCGTTCTTCCGGGAAAAGGGACGAGGGCGTTTACATCCGACACCAGTACGTATGTGGATGGATCACGGCTATCACTACCTGCGCCGGGATTTCGCTGAACCCGAAATCCCTTGAGGGATTGGGCATTGTCCTTAAGCCGCGCTCTCCAATAGCTTTCCGTCAGCATTGTGTAGTAAGTCAGAACGCGGCTGAAGAACGAAATAGCATTCCATCATGAAGGACACATCAGTTTAGTTTTGCATAAATACTGTACAGGTGGGAAGTTGCAAATTTGACTGTCGAATTTGCAAGGAGGTTGACTTGCAATCAGGGACTTGGAGCGGAGCCGGAGCCCGGAGCCTGGAGCCCGGAGCAGAGCGATTTTAGCCGGAGCGGAGCCCGGAGCAGGCAAAATTTTTGGCTGCTCCGGGCTCCAGGCCTCAAATAAAATTTGAAAAATTTGGGGAGAACCCCCAGCCATATGTGACTGTTTGGCT